ATTGTTGATAATGTTGCTGTAAACATCAGGGTGCATGTGTCCCTTTGAATCAGTATTTTGGTATCCTTTGAGTAAATACTTAGTAGTGCAACTGCTGGGTTGTAGGGTAGTTGTATTTTTAACTTTTTGAGGAAGCTCCATACTGTTTTACAGAGTGGCTGCACCAGTTTGCATTCCCACCAACAGTGTGAGAAGGTTCCCCTTTCTCCATATCCTTGCCAACACCTGTGTGTTGTTAATTTTAGCCATTCTGACAGGCCTAAGATGGTATATCATTGTAGTTTTGATTTGTATTTCCCTGATGGTGAGTGATATTGAGCATCTTTTCAAGTGTTTGTTAGCCATCTGGATGTCTTCTTTGGAAAAATGTCTATTCATGTCTTCTGCCCATTTCTTACCTGGATTATCTGTTTTTTGGGTGTTGACTTTGATAAGTTCTTTATAGATTCTGGCTACTAACCCTTTATCAGACATGTCATTTGCAAATATCTTGTCCCATTTTGAAGGTTGCCTTTTAATTTTGTTGATGGTTTCCTTTGCTGTGCAGAAGCTTTTTATCTTGATGGGCTCCTAGTAGTTCGTTTTTGCTTTTGTTTCCCTAGAATTTTATATGGGAATTCATGATGTGTTTATGTAAGCCCCTGTGATGGGTTAGTGAGCCTGCTTTCTACCAGGAGTCATTTTTGGGTTAGGAGCCTCTCTACTCTTATGTGCCAGCTACGTATATTCTGCCCACATCCCTCAGTACACACCACTTTTCTTGGTTTTTAGGAACACCTAGGTCTTTTCACTTAAATGCCCCTTCTTTTCTTGCATGATTTTAGCCAAGAGAGGATGTTTACAATAAATACAGAACATCATTTCAAGGCCCGAGGTTTCTCGAACATTTTGGTCTTATTAGTGATATTTTGTTTAACACAAAATAACTGCAAGTTTGATTTTTATTACCTTACCCTTCCTTCTTAGATGATTGAAATTATTTTCTATCAGTCTTAAAAAAAGGGGTGGGGGAAGCTCTTGCCTCTGTCTTAAAAGACAAGAAATATATGTTAAGCTATTTCCTTGAACACTAACGCTAATATTATTGTACCTCAGGACAAACTTATATTTCTGTCATTAATCTGTTGCTCATAATCTAAACTCACTATTCTTATTCCTTGAAGACTCCTGCCTTTGGGCCATCCTACATAATTTGTTAAATTTATATTTATGTCATAAACTTAATAAGTTTTAAGCATTAATTATAGTAAAGAGTTATAGTAAAGAATCTATATGACAGAATTGGTTATGACAGGTCACGTATGTCTACCTGGTACCACTCAGTGACAATCATGCTGTCTTTCTTAATGTCTTCCTTCTTAGTCTTTGAGCCAATTGTAGCTCTAAAAATGTATGTTCTCTTATGTTCATGTTACACTTGCAAAATAGGGTAAAGGGAGTTAAGTTCTATAGGGTAAAATTACAAAATACGTGCTCTTTTAAAATGTTCATGGCTTTGCTCTTCTTTTCCCTTAATTGTCTTTATAAATACTATCAAATTTTTTTTGGTGTTTGTAAAACTAAAATCTGAATATTTGGCAATTTTAAATTCTTGGTCCATAGAAATATAACTATCCTGTACAAAACAAGTTACCTTACTTTTAGACCTTTAGGGACATAAATGAGATATATGCATCTATTTTTCTTTTATCTTTGAGTAATGGACAGGTTCCTATAAATTTGTGTATATAAATTCTTCCCTTTCTAATTTCTATACTGTCTACTTTATTACGAGCAAAATTTAAGAGCTCTAACTCCTAAACGGATACTATTATCTGAGATATTCATGACTAATTCAAGTCGTGACTGCTTTTATCAGGTAATAAGAAAGACCAATAAATGACAGTGATTGGGAATCTGGCCTGAAGGGGAACACGGGTTTATATTCTAGACCTCATGAAAGCAATCTGTCAAAGCATGGGAAATAAGTTTTCAGCATGGAAGTAGGAGGAAAATCAAATGCTGCCCCAACTCTGTGCGCTCAGCAATTACGTATTGATCACTTACTGTGTTCTTGCTGGTAAACTCGCTCTGTGAAAGTAAGAAGGCATGCCTTAATAGGGCTTTACATAAGTAAATTCATCCAAGAAATAAAATAACATATTCTCTACTGCTTTTGATTTTTACAGCATTATTTTGAAAAGTGAAGCGCTTCATTGTTCTAGGAGAATTTTTGGCCTTTTTCCTAAAAGACCCCTCAATTTGTTAATTTTATTATAAGATAGCAAATGAAAGTTTCTGAACACAGAGATATATCTTCAATCAATAAGAAGAAAATTTTATATTCTACTCAAAATGATATTTAAATCCTGCTCATCCAGCTGTATTGTATAATCCATTTCTTTCTCAGCTCTTGATTGCCAAGGATCCTTCTCCCGATTCTTTCAAAAATCCGAATTGCACTTGAGGATCTGACCCCACATCCACTGTGGAGGGGGTAGGGGATGAGGGTTGGCCCTGAGACTTAATCAGAATTGGCTTTATTGACTGGATTAATCTGGGTTTGGGTGGCAGGCTTTAACTCTTTCCTTGCTGGATTGTGGAGAGGTCTGAAATGTTCTGGAGGAAGGACTGGGGTATGGAGGGGAGAGGAGGTTGGTGGCTACCGCTGGTATGGAGGAATTTTAATGGTTTGACTACAGTCAGGTCAGCCAGGTGCCACCCTGTCCACTCCCTTGCTAAGAGGTGTTAACCTCAGAGGTGTGTTCCTTCAAGTGCCTGCCACTGTAGACCTAACTGTGCTCTGTCCCTGTGAGATGACCCGCCCTCCTTTTTAGTACCTAGCACAACTGACAGTGATGACAACTGACTCAAACGTCTCTTTTTCCTTTCTTCTCTGACAGGCATATTATGAAATTACAAAACAGTAAAATTTGCTACATTTTTCTTGGTGTGTCACAAGGCATAAAGATGAAAGACATCTAATGCACTCGTTCCCTTCTGTTAGGTGTACTTGTATAGTTTAAAGATTGGAGTGATTCAGGCTTTACATGCTCCAAAGGCTCTTGTTTCCAAATGGAAATGACAGTATTTCATTCATTCATTCACTCAACAAATAGGTATTGAGAGACTTCTGTGGGCCAGGCATTGTTCTCCAGATACGACAGTGAGCAAAATAGGAAAAAAAAAAAATCCCTCCTCTAACACTCAACTCTAGTGGAAGCAGGCAATAAACAAGGTGAATAAGCCAACTAGGTGGGATGTTGGAGAGCTATTAAATGCTGATTATAAAGATCAAGCTGGGAAAAGGGATAAATATAGGGGGAGGAGCTCATTGAAAAGGTGGCATTTGAGAAATGACCTGAAGAAAATGAGGACGTAGCAAGACATCAAATTATCAGAAGAGCATGGCAGGCACAGGAAACAGCCAGGACAACCGCCCGAGGTAGGAACACTCCTGGCACACTTGAGGAGCAGCATGAAGGCCAGTGTGGTTGCAGTGGCGTGAATCATTCCACCCTTGGAGGTGGAGGTGGTCAGAGCACTCTAGGGGCCAGGTGGTTAGCTACTTTAGAAGTCATCACAAGGACTTTGGCCTTTCTGTGCCAGATGGGAAACCATTACTTGGTCCTGAACAAAGTGAGCTAATCGAACTCATGTTTTAATAGGATCCTTTTGCTGGTATGTTGTGAAAGGACTGTAGGGAAGCAATGGGGAAGAAGAGTCCAGTTGGAAGATTCTTGATCATAATTCAGACGATGTGGTAGCAGTCAAGCTGGATGAACCAATAGGATGGACTTAATGTGGAGTGTGAGAGAGAAGGGATGTGGATGACTCCAAAGTTACTGGACTGAACAAATGGAGGAATGACTTACTCTGTATTGAAACAGAGACTGTGAGAACAGGATTCTTTTGACAGGAGAGTGGAAGGGAGGGATTATCAGCATCTCCGTTTTAGACGTGCCTTGGTGGAAATCGCCTTAGACGTTAAGTGGAGATCAGATAGAGGTCCAGGATGGAGATGTAAATTTGGAGTTAATCGGCATATGAATAATACATAAATCCAAGGGAATTGAGGAGATTACCAACAGAGTGAATGTAGAGACTGAAGAAAACACATCCAAGGCCTGAGATGAAAAAGAACCATAAAAGAAAACGGTGTTGGGATCTATGCAGAGTAGGAACGTAGTAATCTGGAATTAAGAAAAAGAGGATTTTAAGAGGGTGGTCAACTTTGTTGAATGCTGCTAACAGGTCAAATAATTGAGTTCTAAGAATTAACCACTAGTTTAGTCGTGGTGGAGGTCCTTGATGACTTTGATGGGAATAGCTTTAATGGATCGAAAGTTGGGCAATATCTGGTTGGAAGGGTTCAAGTGGGAGATGAGAAATTGGAGACAAAAAACTATGAACAACCCTTTTAAGCAGGTTAGTTGGAAAGAGTGCGATGACGTGGCAGTGTGCCAGGAGGCACCCGGCAGCCTGCTGAGGCAGGACTGACTGTCTTAGGGTCTGCTGACAGTCACATGCTGTGAATGTGAGCGTTAGCCATTAGCTGCGTATAGAGTCGGTGACCTCAAATGACCTTGCCTTGGGTAGACATAAATTTTTGAGATGTTTGTCATGAATACATTAGTACTAAAGCCAAAACAAAACATTAATCAAGGCAGCTGTTTTAATGTACAAATATCCTTCCCTTTTCAGCTCTTACTTTACATCCAATATTTTCTTTATATTTTTCTTTGGAAGCTAGTTTTTAACTAGCTCATAATTGGTTGTTTGTATGCCATGCTCCCATCCCAGCCTAAGTTTCTTGAGAAGGACCATATTTTATTTTACTTTACATATCAATCTCGTAGCTCTGCTCCTGGCACATGGCAGACACTCCATAATGTTTTTGGAATGAATGACTCTCCTGTTTCTTATTGGTATGTGGTGCCTTGGATGTAAAGGTCGGTGTCTTCCTGAAGTTTGCTGTTAATTTCTAAATAGAGATTGTGTCTGGTCATTTTGTTTTCCAGAATTCCTGTGGAGCAGGCATAGTGAGGACCGGCTCGCTGCAGCTCAGTGGTACATCTGTTGGCAACTCATCTTTGAAAAGGACAAAGCGAAAAGCACCTTCCCCACCCTCCAAAATGCCCCTGCCTCTAAGTGATGAAGATAATCATGTGACTGGTAACGTTACTTTTCCCATTAACGTTACATGTGTGTTGTGTCTTGTTTAATACAGACAAGAAAGTGATATAGGTTATAAATCAGGTCTTTTCATTAAATGATAATACTTAAACTTAGGCTTTTAATTAATTTTAATAATACTTAGATAGTCCCTGATTATTCTTACTTAACTACCTTTTTAAAAGCTGCAAGACGACAGGATAAAATGAAAAAAATTGTACAGCCCCCGATCCTAAAATTGAGCGTGTGATCACTTGTGAATCTGTTCAGAAGGACACTCTCATCCCAGGGCTGACTACCTGTAGGAAGGGGAATCCATGGAGGTTTTAGTTGTATCAGAGCTCAGTAGCGAAATGGCTTCTAACAAAGCCTCAGGGCTCTCTTTCCCTAAAGTATAGAAAAAGAATGAAGTTAACCTACTAAAGACTTGTTCCATTTGTGAGTGTGATTATTTGTAAGGTGTGCCGCTTCTGTCCTCTAGTCCTGCAGGCGGGACGTGCAGTTCCTACAGACAGTGCTATGGAAGCCAGCTGTCCCGAGGGGCCGTCCAACCCAGGTAGGACACCTTTGCCCCACAGTCATGTGGTACTGACAAAGATCTTTCATGACAGTTGAGGAATGAATCTAGTTATAATGCTCTGCCTGTGAAAGAGATGCAGATGCTTTGACTCTATTTCCCAAATTTTATATTATGAAATGAAAACTTTTCCAGCCTGGGTTGAGTATGAAACTGGCAGAACTCAAGACTCCAGTTCTGTGATGGTACCTTAAGAGCTTGCCTTATGCAATGTCAGGTTACCCTGTACAGTGTCAGGGGTGTCAATGTCCTTCCCAAGACGAATGACATGTTTTAGTTAGGAATGTACTTTAGTGTGTTCAGAAGAAAACTTACACCAAAGTGTAAAGTACCATTCTTTACGCGACTGTTCTAGGTATGAATTCGATATACAAAGTGTCCTCATTTAGTGGTAAAAATTTGTTATCACGAAATATTTTCTGTTGTATGGTCTGATTTTGGATTTCCCAAATAAATGAATGCCAGTAAAAATAAAATAATTTGATTGAATGCTGTTTCCTATATTTTTAATAATAGCTATTTAGTAGCTATTATAAGAATAAATATGATAACATTTCTTAATTTTAAGACTTAAAGTTAGATACAAATGAATATGAGAGACTAATGTCTAGCCAAAAATAGATATTACTATGCTATTACTTTAGCATGGGGATAATTTTATAGGTAAGAAAATTACTCAGTATAGCCTTAATTTTTATAATTAAGATTCATAAACACTGCAAAAACCCGGGCGCACCAAATGCTCCTAAATCTTTAATCCTTAGCTGATTTTTAGGAATTTGAGATTTTGACACATCTTATATAAGAATTCTCCTGTCCTCTGTGATTAAAAATATTATCATTATATAACTAGTCGTGATTTTTCTTAAGTCCTACCCAGAAAAGTATCATTGATACTGTTTGTTCCACAAAGGAAATGTATTAAATAATTTCAAACTATATAAGTGAAATGAGAAGATTCAGAAGTATTAGAAAAAAGATGTGACTGCTATTCAAACTTTGCTTGATATCTATTTCTCTTTCTCTTCCTTTTTTTTTTTTCTAGTTACCTCTTCTTGATTAATGCGTGGATAATTGTGAGCTAACAAATCTGATTTCTTCGAAATGCTTCTTGTTCTCTGCTTGCCTTAACTCTGTTGTCTAAGTGCCATTTCCACAGATTTTACTTCTTTGGCAGAAGCCTCCCTTGGCCCTGGGCTCCCCAGTCACGAACAGTGCACTGTGCCCAGATCGCCGGATGAAGCCTCTCTCTCGGAGTGCCCTGGAACACCCGAGGCGGCCGTAGCATCTCTGACACGTAGGTGACCAGGCCTTTCTTGCCTGGTGCTTTGTTTGATGCAGAGTAAGATGTAACCACAGAAAAATTTGGTTACTTGGTCATCCCATGTGTAAAAATGCCTCAAAGAAATAGTAGTTTCCCTCTTTCACTTGAAATTCCATTACAGGTTTAGAGTTTGATGTTTTCCCTGACCATATAGATGAATAATGCAAGGTGTAAGATGAATAAAATAAGTGGCTTTGGAGGATTTCAGCTTTTCTGCTATTTGGCTCTCTGCTTTTTTGGCAAAACTCTTTAAACTCTGTTGTTTCCAATGTGTAACTGTATGAATATAAAAGTATATATGTATTTTTTTCTTTCTTGAACTACTTTTTTGTTATCTAGGCCTGGCTTATTTTCTGTAGGATTGCTTTCAATTGGGATTTTTAAAGTAAATTATTGGAATTATTTTGTTATTAGACTGCAAAAATTTATAGTCAGGTAATATTTGAATTTCATCATAAATGATTTTATTCAGTTTTTTATGAACTCAGAATGAGTCCTTATTTAAAATTATTTAAAATTAATATATTATCACCTACTGCTTTTAGTAATACAAAATTGTATGGCCAGTTTGGAAAATAGTTTGGCAGGTTTCTAAAAATAAAATTTAAGTGTTGATTTTCTATATAACTCAGAAATCCCACTCCTAGGTATTTTCCCAGAAAAATGAAAACCTTTCTGCTCACAAAAACATACATGTGAATTATTATAGGATTTTTATTCATAATTGCCAAAAATGAGGAACAACCCAATGTCCCTTAACTGAGGATGGATAAACTGTGGTCAGTGCAAACATTGGTGATATCACCTACCCATTAAAAAGAATGGATAATACATGCAATGACATGGCTGAATCTAAAATGCATGTAATGTTAAAAGGGGGAAGCTAGTCTTAAATGGCTAGATGCTCTATGATTTCAGTTATATAACATTGTTTCAAGGGCAAAACTATAGGGGGATAATAGTTGTCAGGGTCTAGGGTTGGGGAAAGGGATGATCACCAAAGGGCATGGGGGATTTTGGAGATGGATGGACTTGTTCTATCTGTGTCTTGATTGTGGTGGTGGTCACTCAACTATATACCTGTATTCATTATAGAACATTTTAATTATCAAAATGAAGCATTCCCAAATGGATCCCCAAAAGCATGAATTTTACTGAAGGTAAACTGTATCTCATTTTCTAAAAGAGAAAGAAAACTATTCTGGCAGCAACTGCATTAGTGTCTGACAAAGTGAGCGTTTTCTGAATGAATGAATGAATGAATTTTAAAAAAGTAGTTCACCAGAATGGATGTAATATGATTTTATTTTAGCAAAGAGAGATAATTTGTTTATTTTGCCGTTTCAGTCATTTCCAGGAAAAATATGCAAAGTACCCCAAAAGTCACAGTGAAGTTATAAGCTTTAATAATTTTTTTAGGTTTATTTATTTGAGAGAGACAGAGACAGTGTCTCTGAGAGAGAGAGAGAGAGAGAGAGAATCCCAAGCAGGTCTCCGCTCTGTCAGCACAGAGCCTGACTTGGGGCTCAAGTCCACAATCCATGAGATCACGACCTGAGCCGAAACCAAGAGTCAGACGCTTAACCGACTGAGCCACCAGGCGCCCCTATAAGCTTTAATAATTTAAAAGTAAAATGCTACAAACTTAACAAAAATATGAAAGCTTATGAAAGCTTAGTATTTAAATTTCATTTACACATATTACATTTTGTGAATTTTAAAGAAGTTTTGAATTTTATATTTTGTTTCAGTTTTGCTTTCTTTAGCAGGAATGAAAAACTTAAGATGAAAAATATTCATATCATATAAAGCTAAGAAAAGGTAAAAAATGCAATAATTAAACTTTAAAAAGATGACTTCTGTAATTTTTAACATTTATACTTTGGAAGTTGTTGGATCTTAAAACTTCACAAAGATTTTGAACACTGTATTCTTTGAAAGTGAGTATTTTTCCATTAGACCTTATGAAGCTACAAAACAATAGTTGTGCTACAATATTGGTGGAATTTATTCATTGTTCACAGCCCTTACCCAGTCTTTTTCTATTGTGGTCCTAAAATGTGGCCTGATTCATATAATTCTGTTAACACAAAAAAAACTTGATTTATTATTTTTCAAAGCTTGGAGAAATTTGTGCTAGTCACCCAACCAACTCTGAAAGTTCTTTCAGATAATTTGAATTTTTTAAAAAGAATCACTTCCTTTCCTAAGACATTTAAGAATAGGAATACTCCTCAAGCTATTAAAAAACATATATATTTAAGCAAGCCCATATGACGCTAGCAAGTTATAAAATTTCAGAAAAATAATTTGAGAAGACTTTTGAAACACGTAACTCATTCTTTATACTTCGACTGAGACCTGTTTCTCTTTAAGGGGCCCCATATTTAAGGAAAAATTGTGTGAAATAACTTTTGATGGGCAAGAGAGAAATAGGGATAACAATCAATAATTTGCGAAATGTTACCTCAGTTAATCTAATTTGCAAAAGAACTTATTATATGCCAAGGAGCCATTTATAAAACACATTTGCATCTAAATCAGAACAGCCTTTCATTTTCTCAATACACAGTTTTCAAATTATGTAAATATACTCTTACTACACAGATATGATATGCTGTTTTACATACATAATATTTGTGCATTGGTATCATAATGACTCCTTCACAAATCATAATAAAACAAGATTTGCCAAAATATATTTTTAAAAAATTCACTTAAATTCCTTAATATTTTTTTCTGTTGAGTAATCTTTTTTTTAAATTTACAACAAACTGTCATTAAAAGTCTCCATATTTGGGGCACCTGGGCGATTCAGTCGGTTAAGCGTCCAACTCCTGATTTCAGTTCGGGTCATGATCTCACAAGTTTATGAGTTTGAGCCCCACATCGGGCCCTGCGCTGAGAGTGGCGCCTGCTTGGGACTCTCTCTCTCCCTCTTTCTGTACCTCCCCTGCTCGTGCACACTTTCTCTTTCTCTCTCAAATAAATAAACTTTAAAAAATAAAGTTTTTTAAACAGCATAAATAGCAAAATTTTTTGTTGATACACCTAGAGATAAAATTAAAGACATACATTTTAAATACTTTAAATATTCTTTTTTGTTTTTAGTTTTTTTTTTTTTTTAATGTTTATTTAGTTTTGAGAGAGACAGAGCGTGAGCAGGGGAGGGGCAGAGAGAGAGGGAGACACAGAATCCGAAGCAGGCTCCAGGCTCTGAGCTGTCAGCACAGAGCCCGACGCGGGGCTCCAACTCACAAACCACGAGATCATGACCTGAGCCAAAGTCGACAGCTAAACCGACTGAGCCACCCAGGTGCCCCTAAATATTCTTGTAACATGTTGAAGTTTTTATTACATTTTGTGGCTGTGCTGATCTCTGTAATCCAATGCTATGCCACCTTTCCTCCCCCTTCCATTGTGGTAAAATTAAAGTTTGTTCAGCTGCTATTATGTAAATGGAAGTGTTAAATTATATTTAAATAAGTGAAGATCCAGAACCTCGTTCTTTAGATTAAATTAACTTTCACAGCTAGTGTGGGCACCAGTTAGGATGTCTCCTCTTTTAGCCTGTTGGCCACTTGTTGGTGCTTAAGGAATAATGATAAAACACATTTTTATACACTGAGATACTAGCCATAGCTTTTGAAAAGAAACACACACACAGACACAGACACACACGCACATATTGTTATGGGACAATTTTCCAGATACAGTTAACTGGAGAAGCAGAAGGTGAAAAACATCAGGTATAGTATGCTTCCATTTATATTAGATAAACAACAAAAAAAGGAAACATGAGTGTGTATATCTGCTTGTATGATCATTATACTTTCCAATACTATATAGGAAAAATCTGTTAAAGGAAATTGCTTCTGAGAATCAAACTGAGAGAATAATTTTCATTGTATAATACTCATTTGTATTTTCAAAATTTTTACTAAGCATCTAAGGCAGTGGCTTTTAACCCTGGTTTTATATTAGAATCACCTCAGGAACCTTAAAGATTTTGGTTCCCTCCATCAGAGATTCTGGTTTAACAGGCGTGGAAGAGGGGGTGAACATCAGTATTTAAAAAAATTTTTTTTAACATTTATTTATTTTTGAGACAGAGCATGAATGGGGGAGGGTCAGAGACAGAGGAAGACACAGAATCTGAAACAGACTCCAGGCTCTGAGCTGTCAGCACAGAGCATGACACAGGGCTCAAACTCACGAACCGCGAGATCATGACCTGAGTTGAAGTCGGACGCTTAACCAACTATGCCACCCAGGCACCCCTGAACATCAGTATTTTTAAGAGGGACTCAGAGAACTCTCCATTGTAGTGAGCACTGATAACCACTGAGTCAAATTTTTTGGTGTACTTGTAGCCAATATAAAAATCTCATGTTCTTTTCATTTACATTTAGACCTATTGCATAAATGTAACAATCATTTAAATCTAAAGATATATAGATAACTTTCAGATATATAGCTTGAAGTTTGAGTTTAAATAATTTATTTTTTTCTACCATGAATAAAACCTAGCACGATAGCATATTATTTTTAGAATTGTATGTGTCTGAGATAATCTGATTATATGTTAATTTGATTATTCACCATTAGAAGAGTATTTCACTATTAGTTTTGGATGAGCATTTAAAAGAGTCCATCCAGCTAATTATGATTTAAAAAAAACTCCTTTCTTGCTAGGATTGCGCAGGAAGAATGAGGCAAATTAATATTTAGGATTATATCTTCATTTCTTTGTAGCTGGAATAAGCTCTGATCATAGCCTTGAAGAGATAGATGAAAAGGAAGAACTGAGTGAAGTGCCTAAAGTTGAGGCTGAAAATGTTTCTGTGAAGTCACAAGATATTCCTTTTGGATCTACTGAGATAATAAATACACTGAAAAACGATCCTAACTCAGCCCTTGGCAATGTTACTGGAGAGTCCGCACAAAACTCCAAAGAAGAAAAACAAGAAGCTAGAAACACAGATGGACAGTAAGTAGTAGTCTGTGTGCCAGAAGTGTATGGTTTGTTTAATTAATACTAGTCTCTGAGTTATAGATCTGATATTTTAAATACAAATATAGCAGTCCCTTTAGTTTAGGCTCTATTTCACCACCATTATAAGAATATTTATTAATGAAGTATCTATTTGAGGTGCCTGTGTGGCTCAGTTGGTTGAGCGACCAAGTCTTGATTTCAGCTCAGGTCATGATCTCACGGTTCATGGGATAAAGCCTTGTGCTGGCAGCGTGGCGCCTGCTTGGAATTCTCTCTCTCCCTCTCTCTCTGCCTCTCCCCTGCTTAAACTTTTTTTCAAAAATAAGTAAGCTTTTGGGGCGCTTGGGTGGCTCAGTCAGTTAAGCATCCAACTTCGGCTCAGATCATGATCTCTTGGTTCATGAGTTCAAGCCCCATGTCAGGCTCTGTGCTGACAGCTTGGAGCCAGGAGCCTGCTTCAGATTCCGTGTCTCCCTCTCTCTCTCTCCCTGTCACTTTTTAATTTTCAGTGAATGCTCCTCCAAGATTTTCACTGATATGTAAAACAATTCTGCATATTAGAGTGTGATGTTAAGTTACTAATATTTTCACAGTCAACTTCATGATGAAGATAGTACACTTGCCACTTGATCCTAGGAATTGAAATCTATACGACAGTACACTTGTATTGTATTAGAAATGCCACATCATGAATAAAGATGGAATCAAGTAGGCAAAATAAACCATCTTTATCAAAGTTTTACCATAATTTGCATGGGATTGTCTCCAAATTAAACCCTTCTATGACTAAAAAATCCCAGTGAGGTCAGTCCACATCCTGATTTGCCAGAACTTGGCCTGGGCAGATGCAAGACTAAAATGATTAATTTAGTTTTCTTTTTCTTTAAAAGACAAACAGTCAATAATAACAAAAAGACACTGTTTTTAGAAAAGTGTTCATTTTTACCAAGCTTCTTAGATCCTTCTTTGTAATAGGACCTCTCTATGAACGCTAATGGTTCATAGCAGCATTTCCTCTCAGTTGGATTTTTTTCTTTGCTATTAAATTTCCGGTATTTGGCAGGGGAAAAAAAGATGATTATTTCAGTCCATCTGTCTTTGGAAATTATTGCCTGTTTTCTCATCTGGGCTGTGTGTGTGTGTGTGTGTGTGTGTGTGTGTGTGTGTCTGTGTGTGTTTAAATAGTATCAATACATGACATACAATATCCTATTTTTCAGAGGGCCACGCATTATGGTATATAATGCAAGCAATGAAGAGAGAGTAGTGGACGGTGTAAGAAACTTGAAGTCATTGGGCTCAAACCAGGAAAATGGTGAGTTCTACAAACACTAATAGCCAACATTTTCATAGCACTTACTATGTGCCAAAGGGCCATTTTTAACACTTTATCTATATTAACTCATTTAATCTTGTGTATTAACTTATTTATGGGTCTTATTATTTTTAGTCCCACTTTACGGATGATTGAGCCACAAAAATATTATATAACTCACTTGAGTTCCCGTAATTAGTAAGTGGTGGACCTTGGATTTGAACTCAGACAGTATTACTTTAACATGTGCTATTAACCATTATGTGAACTACTTTTGTTGTTAAATCTTAGAGGTTGTTTAACCTAGATTTTGGATCTTAAAGATGTGTTCTCTGTGCATTTACATGTGATCTATTTCTCTTATTTCTTTATACCAGCTCCTAAGTTGAACTTGTTTTACTTCATACTCAAGTTGCTTTTACTTGGGTGAAACTTGTCTGCCTGATTTTTAAAGTTGAAACCATCTAATTCTGTATAATACTTACCAGTATTCTGTACCCCCTCAATCAAGATAGTTTCATCTCTTCATTATATTTCACTTAGTTTTATCTTTAGGGCTATGCTCATTCTTTGCAAAAATATGATTTTCCAACCTAACTTCACCCATTCAACTGTCCAAATCCTGCCACTTCACTTACTTTGTTACTTGATTACAAGCCATGTGTTTCTCTGGTCTTGACTCCTCAACCAGATTGGAGTCTTTTGAATCAGAGAAATTCTATCCAATACTTTAAATTCCTCATGGCACCTAGTGGAATACTGAGATATTGTTAAAATACATACAGTCATTGACTTAAGATTTTTTGACTTTACGATGGTGCAAAAGTGGTACGCATCCAACGGAAACTGTACTTTGAATTCTGAAGTTCGGTATTTTCCTAGGCTAGCAATACGCTCCATGACACTCTCTCATGAGGGTGGGCCTCAGCCACTGCAGCTCCCAGTCAGCCCCATGAGGGTAAACAACCCCTCCACCTGCAACATTCTGCCATTCACTTTCAGCACAGTATTTAATAAATTACATGACATATTCAACACTTTATTATAAAAAAGGCTCTGTGAGAGATGATTTTGCCCAACCGTAGGCTAATGCTTTATGAGCACATTTAAAGTAGTGTAGGTTAAGCTATGATATTCAGTAGCTTAGACGTATTAAATGCATTTGACTTAATGATATTTTCAAGTTATGATGGGTTTATTGGGATGTAACTCCACCATAAGTTAAGGAAGATCTATACTTAACATTGAGTTTCGGAAAAATGATACTACACAAATATAAGATGTGAGGAGTGCACAATGGTATTTTAAGAAAATATGAAGGAGTTGGCTGATGAATTCTCATAGTCCGGTCTGTTATATTAATATACAAAACTAGATGCAGATTTTTAGAAAACATAGGGTATATATATTCATATTTGGATAAAATGTGGATTATCCCAGCATCACAAACAGATGGGTAGATATATATTGTTTTACCTATGTGGTATGTGTTGGTTAATTTTTTTTTTTTTTAACATTCGTTTTTGAGAGACAGAGACAGAGCACGAGTGGGGAAGGGGCAGGGAGAAGACGGGGAAACACAGAATCCGAAGCAGGCTCTGAGCTGTCAGCACAGAGCCTGACTCGGGGCTCAGAATCATGGACTGCGAGATCATGACCTGAGCTGAAGTCAGAGGCTTAACTAACTGAGCCACCCAGGCGCATCATGTGTTGGTTAATTTGAATAAGTCTTTTTCCCCGTGGTCAGTACCATCCTGAGATAGAATACTGAGAAGTTCTAAAAGTATATAATTTCCCCTTCCTTTTCCTCTTGATTTAGTTTCTCACAGCATACACTATGATGGTCAGTAGAGTTTTTACTGAGAAATCATGCTGCTTCCTTGTTTTAAAAATGATCATCAAATCATTTTTGCTAAGATTTTGGCATCAAGTTAGTGCTAGGGTCACAGGTATATTTCTGTAATAATATTTTACTGTTTGCATTTGATTTGCAATAACCTTGGTCAACTCTGGGTGGGTTCCCCCCCCCCATACTTTTTTTTAATTGAATTATATAGGGGACTTTTAAAATAATTTCTATTATCCTTAAAGGATAATAGATAAGTTTTAATATTTTCTTCCCTCTTTTTCACCTACCCTGTATATTTGTTTCAGTCATCCTTTTGTCAAATGACTTGTGTTGTAGATGTTGGTATCGGTTTTGAGTAGGGAGAGGACAGGATGTTACAAAATCTACCTTTAACTTCTGGCTATCATTGTAAAATGGCCTAACCAGTCATTGACATTTGGTTAGTGTCATTATTAGTATGAGGATGGATTAGCTACTGAGTTCAGCAGTGATTCTAGGTTTCAAGCCCTGTCATTGGTAATAATTGTGAGATTCTCATGAGAAATTCAGTAAAGTAGGTGCGACCCACCAAAAATGTGAAAAATAGACATTTGGAGTTCTAAAACCAATTAGTTAGGGTTTGTTATAGGGAACTGAATTTACAATATATTTTTATGTTGATTTACTTTGTTTTGGAAAATATTTCTATTGTGTAACTGGACTATACCTATACTCACTGGATAATGAGCTACAATAAGAGAGAAAGAAATACATTTACATTCATTTCCTGGTGCCAGGGAACATTTCTTACATTCTTTTGTGCTCATAGCAGTGTTGACAATAGTACTTTTCATGTAGACGTTAAAAATACTTGTGAAGTAATTAAATAAGAACCTAGGTAGAAATGTGCCTTTTCAATGATTTTTAATCAAATGTGTTTTTACTCACAAAAGCTAATAATTATTAGTTTTTGAGAAGTCACTTGTATACACAATAAATATTCTGATAATCAGTTGCATTTTTTAGGAAGAATAAAAATGAATTCCATTTAAAAATTAGCTATTTAATATAAGAACCTTGCAACATAATAGAAAATATTACTACCATGACCAAAAAATCATGCAGTTAGGTAGGGTGTAAAAATATGAAGGTATTTTTTTAAGTTTATTTATTTATTTTGAGAGAGACAGTGGGAGGGCAGGCAAGAGAGAGGGAGAGAGAGAATCCCAAGCAAGCTCTGCGCTATTAGCTCAGAGCCTGACATAGGACTCAAACCTGCAAACCACAAGATCATGACCTGACTTGAAATAAAGAGTCAGATGCTTACCTGACTGAGCCACCCAGTCCCCCAATATATTTTTAAAAGTTGTTCTGTTGGTGGGAATGCAAACTGGTGCGGCCACTCTGGAA